TGTGTGCCTTGGCCGTTGCTGCTCCTGACCTTGTCGCTGCAGCGTTTAACGACCCTGTCGACGGTGGAGTCGAGGATGCACAGCGAGGCGGTGCTGTTACCCGGCGACATCGTGCTGGGCGGACTGTTTCCGGTGCACGAGAAGGGCGGCAATGCAACATCCGCGTGCGGCCCCAACATCTATCACCGGGGCGTGCAACGCCTCGAGGCGATGCTGTTCGCTGTCGATCAGATCAATCAGGAGGACAAAATACTGCCGGACATCACGCTGGGCGTGCACATCCTCGACACGTGTGGCCGCGACACGTACGCGCTCAACCAGAGCCTGCACTTCGTCAGGGCGTCCCTGTCCAACATCGATATCAGCGTGCTGGAATGCGCGGACAAGTCGACACCTAGGGTGAAAAGGACCGCCAATGCGGGTCCCATCTTCGGGGTGATAGGCGGCTCCTACAGCTCGGTGTCGCTACAAGTGGCAAATTTACTGCGGCTCTTTCACATCCCCCAGATATCGCCGGCTTCCACGGCCAAGGCGCTTAGTGATAAGACCAGGTAAGACAGGATTCCCCTATTGAATTTTGACTTTTAAATTGATATGAGATTTTCTTCTTCACGTTTTAACCTGCCGTAAGTAAAATAAACAAATTCTAAAATTCTAAACGGTAAAGAGAAATTGTGAAGATTACAGAAAGACCTTCCTTCTGCTGAGGGCATGGCAATATTTTCTTTAAAAAAATTGATATTTTTTTTTAAAAATTGATATTTGTTTAAAAAGCTGATGTTTTTTTAAAAAACAGACATGCTTTTAAAAAACTGATATTTTTTAAAAACAAATATTTTTTTTTAAAAAAGTGATTTTATTTAAGCAATTAGATTTAATATGAAATGACAAAAATAGTGAAATAACAAGAAATGTTGAAACAAATTTTATGCTAATAATTGTATCATCATTTTTAAAAGCATAATTAATTATACATTCATTATGTTAATTATACATTCAAATAGTTTGTTTATCGAATAATTCGAGTTGTGAATATCTGCTTTATAAATCCATATATTTGAAAGATCAACTAATTTTTTTTCAGAAGTTATAATTTGTAATAAATAAATTCTGATTTTTTAGAAAAATTTATAATCTTCTTTTTCCTTTTTGAATTGATGTTGGATTTATTGACTTAAACAATCTTCGATTCGCTCGCTAAGGCCTCAACTGTAATTAATATGAGCTTCCGACAATCCCGTCAGATGCTTGTTAGTTTGACATCGTTGTCGACCTTGCGTATAATTGTCATTAAAAGACTTTCGATTACTGTTCAAACACTCGTTTATGGGTAACGGCGATGAATACGTATCTGTTAGAAATGACATTTTAAGTTACGCCGAGGATTGCATGTTACCTAAAAACTATTAATTTTTATTGCTAATCTACAGAAGACCAATAAATAATCTAAAAGTAATAATAAAATAATAGTTATTCGATTCAGAAACTTGTCTTAAACCCTTTTCTTCTTTCTATGATATATAACAGTACGATAGAAAAAATTATTATATACTTGCGTGTGATATAAACAATTATGATATCATATACAGAGAGAATGATTTTTCCAAAGTATCAAAAAATTTGGCTCGATACAGAATAATTTTATATATAGGACGTTCAAATTGATGGTTGGAATATCAAAAATTTTAAGCAAAATTTTCCTGCGTAATTATATATAACAGTTAACAAAATAATTTAACAAAATTATTTTCAGATCTGTACGTAGTACAAAATTTTTTAGACTCTTCAAAACAAATTCTTTCTGTCTGTTATCGATCGTGATCGATCGAGCGCACCCTCAGCGTTCCGCTCGCTTTCAATTTTCAGATTCGATTATTTCGCGAGGACGGTACCGCCGGATACTTTCCAATCGATCGCGCTGGTTGACGTGGTGAAGAGCGCCAACTGGTCATATGTCTCCACCGTGTATTCCGAGGGCAGCTACGGCGAGTACGGCATCGAGGTGTTCACGCGCGAGGCAACCGAGCGTAATGTCTGTATCGCGGCCGCGCTGAAGGTGCCCAGCGCCGCTGATAACAAAGTGTTCGACGACATCATCCAGCGTTTGAGCAAGAAGCCGAACGCCCGTGCGATCGTCCTGTTCACCCGGGCGGAGGACGCCCGCGGCATCCTCGAGGCAGCGAAACGATCGAATCTCAGCCAGCCGTTTCAGGTCGGTTTCAGGAAGTCGGTAATTATATCGCTGAACCTTTGCCGGTAACACGAGACCGAGTCTCATTTCTTCTTTCTCTCATTGTTAATTAATAAGCAATCGTTCCTCAGAATCGTTCATTTCCCGTACAAAGTACCTTCACCAGCGAGTTATTTTTCATTTGTATTTCGTTTTTTTTTTTTTTTTTTTTTTTTTCTTTGAAATAAGATTTCTATACTCCTCGTCTTTTCGCATTGCTCCCTTCGCACTTCGAATGAAATGTGGTTCCATAACATTCCTGTGCTATAAAAATTCCTCAAACGACAATTCGAACATCTCAGTGGCTGGCCAGCGACGGCTGGGGCCGGCAGGGTAAGCTGGTCGAGGGCGTCGAGGAGGAGGCCGAGGGTGCCATCACCGTCGAGCTGCAATCGGAAAACATCCCCGGCTTCGACAATTACATGGCGTCGCTCACCCCGGAGAACAATCGACGGAATCCCTGGTTCGGGGAGTACTGGGAGGAGGTCTTCGGTTGCACCTTGAAGGGGAACATATTGTACGAGCGTTTCAGTTCGCAGGGCGGATGGAAGGCCGGCTCCAATAATCACAGCCAAGACGAATGCCGGTCTAATCTCAGACTCACCACGGCGAATGGCTACGAGCAGGAATCCAAGGTGCAATTTGTCGTGGACGCGGTCTACGCGTTCGCCTTCGCGCTCAATAAGCTGCGCCACGACCTCTGCGGGCGCAGAGAAGGGCTGTGCTCGTCAATGGCCAACTATGACCGCGGCGCGTTCTATAAGAATTATCTGCTGAACGTGTCCTTTGTAGGTGAGTCCAATGACGGCGCGCATAAAATGGGACTCGAGACGAGAATAATCGGGACGGCGCGACGCGCCGTTTGTTCGCCTCCTTTGTGCTGTTTTTCTCCACCCTCCTTGCCCCTCCGTTCTTCTTATCACCTTTCTCGCCGAGGAACTGCCGAGGGGAAGGGCGAGTAAGGGCGGGAGAGGAGGGAGTGCTAAAGAAATGATCGCTCGAATAGCGATGGATGGGATAAATGGCGAAGTAATCGATCTAAGAGATTTGCAATGAGAAATAAGAACTATTGAGAGTCAGGGCGAAACACAATGCGCTATATATGAATTAAAATATTAGTTTTTATCGATATGAAAATTATATTATATAATTATCTATTTATTTTTATTACAATCACTTTGGACATTTTGGCTATATTTTGAGCTTTAGCTAAAAATATTATAAGGGATGATCCCAAACTCTTAATGACAAGACAAATGTAGATTCATAGCTAAATGTATATGTCAAGAGTTAGTAGGCCGAATCAAAAGTTGACAAAGAGACGGAGAAAAATTGCGCTTATAAATATTTCTCCCTATATAAAAATTAACGTGATTAAAGAAAATTTATTACTCATCAACTGTATATATAATTTATATCATGTTCTGCGCCAATTTTTAGTAATCCTTATTTCTTATTGTAATTCCTTTCTAATTCAAAAAGTCCTTTAAATTATCTGTTCAAGAGATTTTATTACTTCAATAAAAATGAAAATCTTTTAGTATGATGAAATGCCGTTAAATCAAAATATTTAATAAATGTTTAAACGTTGCTTTTTTATCTTTTATACATTTTTTTTCTCGTTATTCCGAAATATTAAACTTTTATATTATTATGCGAAAACTTAAAATCGAATCGCATACCATGCCACGTATTTATTTGTTCTTTATTTCGGGATAGTGAAGCTTTTGTTATATATATTGTTAAGCGAAAGCTTTTAAAATCGATTCTTCAGTTTGGTCGACCTTCTCGTTTTGGACCGCGACGGAAGTTCGCAATAATAAGAGTTATTTTACAGACGCCGCTGGCAGTCTGGTGAAATTTGACGAGCACGGGGACGGCCTGGCGCGATATGAGATCCTCAATTTCCGTAAGGGTACGAACAACAATGGCGCAAACGGCTATCACTATCGGGTAAGACTCATTCTAATCATCGTAACGCGCCACTATATATCATCGCCGATGCATAATTGAACGGATTGTCCGCCCGCCGAGAGTGATAAATTCAATTGAAACTCCCGAGAAAGCCACCCCCCCATTTCCCCTCGCTTTTGCAAACTTTCTAGTTCTCGTTCTCATTATCACTCGTTAATACGCGGATGAAGTAGCGCCCGAGATTTTCCGACGGTCAAACAATTTCAACGGCATTCGAACTGATGTTCGAACATCACGGTCGTTGAAATTCTCCGGAAGATATGTAATCCTAACGGAGGAATCCATTCAGAACTAACGTTAAATAAAATGCCAAAATAAAATAAATTGAATTTTAATCTAAAGAAAAATTGCGAGATCGATGTAAAAAAGTTCCATCGTATTTCCGGATCTTCGCAAAAAATAATTCCCATCATTGTTCGGTAATTCGCGAATGAAGCGAACCGGGATTTTCCGAATAATACAAACAATAATCGAACTCGCGATTCGGACATTACAGTCATACGGGAATCCTATGAAGATACGTTCTAACAGACCCGATTCGAATTCGGGCAAAATAGCGAAATAAAGTACTCGGCTTTATTTTAATAGAGCTTCAATCTGGGAATTGCGGAGCCGATATTAAAAATGCCGCACCGATATTTTTTTCGGATATCTCATATAATTTCATATAATCGGTCGAAATAAAATTCCCATGCGCGATTGCCATGCGCGTCGTTTAATGTCACGCCGGCGTTTTCAGACGTTAAATCGGTTGTTTAATCGAAAAACTTACCGCTACTTATTTACCGGGGATTACGGTATATTTTGTGTACCAGCTTCTACACGTCGTCGTTCATTAATACGCGTGTAACGTCGGCAAGATCGATGGAGACGCGATGCGGAATTGGACGAAGTAAATGCGCAAAGAAGTGGCTCTGTCTTTTTAACGAGTAATTAAAGTTGCCCGGCGGCTGCACTTTCGAGAGCCCATGGAGTTTCTAGGAAACCTCCTTTGCCCGGGGGTAACCGAGGCAGAATGAAACCCTCGAGCCGAGACAAGAAAAATATAACGGTGTTTACAGAGAACGAGAAAATTAGAAGTTAATAGGGCAATAAAATTAACGTTGAGAATATAATTAAAGTTAAATCGACTGAATCGGCGATTAATAATGAAGTAGGCGGCGTTAATAGGGAACGCTTGAAAAGAAAGAAATATTTTTAATTCTCCGATGGTCAATTTACAATTTAAACGACAAAAGACCGTAGTAAAATGTAATTAAGATAATTTAAGAGAAAATTACGTGTAAAGGTAAAAGGAGAGAATAAATTTAAAAATCTCTCTCTCTCTCTCTCTCTCTCTCTACTTAAGTAAG